CTGATTTCTTTAGCTGTGCGTAATTAGAATAACTGTCACGAGAAAGTTCTTATATGACCATCTAATAAGGAAAGGTGTTTTAAATATTTCTTAAGAAAAGTTACCAAACTCACAAATACATTAATATATATATTGACAATGATGTAGTTTCAATATAAGGCAGTGACAATGATGTAGTTTCAATATAAGGCAGTAACAATGATGTAGTTTCAATATAAGGCAGTAACAATGATGCACTTCAAATAAGGCAGTGACAATGATGTAGTTTCAATGTAAGGCAGTAACAATGATGTAGTTTCAATATAAGGCAGTGACAATGATGTAGTTTCAATATAACGCAGTGACAATGATGTAGTTTCAATATAACGCAGTGACAATGATGTAGTTTCAATATAAGGCAGTGAATATAATTTAGTTTCAAAATAAGGCAGTAACAATGATGTAGTTTCAATATAAAGCAGTGACAATGATGTAGTTTCAATATAAGGCAGTAACAATGATGTAGTTTCAATATAAGGCAGTGACAACGATTTAGTTTCAAAACAAGGCAGCAACAACGATGTACTTCAAAATAAAGCAACGATAATGATGTTGTTTCAAAATAAGGGAGTAACAATGGTGTAGTTTCTAAATAAAGCAGTGATGGTGATGTACTTAAATCATTCAGATCATATTTACATCATTTAAATAAGGTAGTAACAATGATGTAGTTTCTAAATAAAGCAGTGATAGTGATGTACTTAAATCATTCAGATCATATTTACATCATTCAAACTAAGCGTAAATTAAATCAATGCTCGAACTGGTTTCAACAAAAACTATTCACAAAAAATAAATGTTAATGTGACCTTGTCCTGACATGCGGATACCTCCCATTTGCTAAAAACTAGACGAATCTAAGACCATTAGTTCAAAGTTCAAAAGTAATGTTAAACATAAGTTCATTCTCGACTTTACTGTTACAGTTGTAGCGTCGTCTTTGTTTCTGCGCCTAAAACATTGAAACACAATTTATGGTTTAGATATACGTTTATTGGTCATTTCGATATCTTTAACTTCATCATCGAGCTTCAAATCTTGCCAGAGAAATAACTGCACGTACAATTTTCTGTAGTTTAATTCTTTTGAAAGAGTTTTAGATAACAAGAAGAGTGAAGATCATAGAAAAACCGATACATTTGTAATTTTTGTGAAGACATTTATTGTGCTCAAAACTGTGAAGTGGATTAGATGTGAGTGGATTAAAAGGTGTTGTTGAGCACATTATTTATTGTGTTTTTTTTTATAAGTATAACTGGTGGCCAAAATCAGATTTTAATTTTCCTTACTCAATTGGGCCAACTTCGTCTATGATTGTTTGTTTGTTTTGAATTTCGCGCAAAGCTACACGAAGGCTATCTGCGTTAAGCCGTCCCTAATTTAGCAGTGTAAGACAAGAGGGAAGGCAGCTAGTCATCACCACCCACCGCCAACACTTGGGCTACTCTTTTACCAACGAATAGGGGAATTGACCGTCACATTATAACACCCCAAGGCTGAAAGGGCGAGCATACTTTGACTCATTCAGTGATACTAATAGAGATCACCGCCAACTCTTGGGCTACTCCTTTACCAACGAATAGTGGAATTGACCGTCACATTATAACGCCCCCAAGGCTGAAAGGGCGAGCATACTTTGACTCACTCAGTGATACTAATAGAGATAAAAACAGTTTCAAGTTTTTTTTTTTCCTTTAATATATAAAATGATGTTACTCAAAAGTAATGTATTTAAAAGTTAGGAATAGAATAAAAATATGTTGCTCAACTTTAAATCTCTTTAACGTACACAAGTAACACATCTTGAATTGGAATCGTATCATAACGAATGTTCGGGAAAAGTTACAGAAAAAAAAAGCCACAATTTGAAAATTTATGTTTATATTTTTTTTTAACTCCATAGAAGTTAAATTATTTAATTATTCCAATCATTCATGTGGTGATTGAACTGGCTGAAAAATCAATTTATATATATATTTATATATAATGCACAGGGTCAAGTGGATTTTTCAGCCATTTAAATACACTTGTCGAGTTAACAGATTGTTTGTTGATCAAAAATATTGACACCATGAATCTTAATGAAGAAACGCTTAGATTTGATGATGAGTTAATAAATTCAGTATATAATGTTCGATATGTAAGAGGAGCCAACCAGGATCGTAATCCGTACTGATCCCATGTTCCTCAGGTCAGATGTAAAGCCACGTTTTTCAGGTAGTGGTAAACCTTGTTCCTCATTTACTTTATGTATATATATCCTTGTACAACAGTTATGTAAGTTGTGTTATTAACGTGTGTATGTCATGTATTTTTCATATAATGTTACATGTCATGCATCATGATATTATTGCAATAAATACATAACTTAAAAATGTTTTTGTTTTATTATTTTTACATTATATTTGGATATTAAAAAATGTGTGACTTTTTTTTTCTGTGACTTTATTATGGACATTAGGCTTAGCTTGAGATATTAGCTCATCCAAAATATGAAGCCTAAATGTCATAACTAACAATTCAGATTCAGCTGAGCCACTGAAAAGTGTAACAAGAATGAAATCTCCTGATGTTACACTGGCGTACAGAATGTGAGAAAATCACTTTAATTAAGACACAATTTTTAATAAATACAAATTTTCTTACCACCGTGTCCCGTCACGCAAGCTATCGTCAACCAAGCTAAGCCTAATGACCACGCTGTCCGGTGAGTAGCTGTATAAATTGCCGCCACTTCAGTACTGGGCAAGTGACCTTTGTTCCACGGGTAGATACCATAGATTATAGAGAGGTTGCAAGCGATGGAAAGTGACCATCCGATCACTTGGATAATCTAGAATTACGAAACATACGAGTAAAAAAAATTACTGAGTAATAAAACCGAACTTGCATAAAGAAAGATTTCGCTTTTACTTTGGGAATAATTCTCTGGAGAAATAAATATATATATATCGTTAGCACACACACACACACACAGTTAATGACTTGAAGTTAAAATATCATCGAAATATCCTGTCACGATGTAAGTAAAACAAAATATACCCATTGGAAAGTTTTTGGGGGCAAACAATATTTCACAGCAAAATGATAACTTATTTCAATGATTTTAAAGTTGTACACAGTATTGATTCACTCAAGAGGTCACTTGGATCTTCTGATCCAAATAAAAATGTTTGAAAAGTGATGAAAATATATCGTATATCGTACTGTAAGATAAATATACATCAATGAATTTTAAAAGACATTTTTTTTCTCCTAAAATTCCATTTCCATAAGTTATTAATTTATTATTTAATTTAAGTTATTAATTTTTCTATCAGATGTCGCTTTTGGTGTTTACTAATAATCACATTGAAATACTTTCATTTACTCATCAAATAGGTTAACATTAACAAAGTATAATCATATACTGCAATTAGTTATGAAAGCTCTTAGAAATAATCTTTACGAGTATCGTGTGTCACAAGTATTGTGTCACATTTAGAATAGCTACGTGATACTGATTTTTTGTTTAATTCACAATACTCCATGCTGTTTAATGGGAAGAAATAAATACTCATACATGATATTAACTGTTAAAAAACCAATATCAAATATTCACTGTCAAGTTTCGCTTTAGCCACTAATGGATTATTTTGCGTTTTTTCTTTTATCACAGAACTGTAAAAATACACTATGAGTTTTTACAATAATAGGAGCTATACACTGAAGGTTGTAATAGCACGAGCTATACACTGAGGATTGTAATAGCACGAGCTATACACTGAGGGTTGTAATAGCACGAGCTATACACTGAGGGTTGTAATAGCACGAGCTATACACTGTGGGTTGTAAAAGCACGAGCTGTACACTAGGGGTTGTAATAGCACGAGCTGTACACTGAGGGTTGTAATAGCACTAGCTGTACACTGAGGGTTGCAATAGCACGAGCGATACACTGAGGGTTGCAATAGCACGAGCTGTATACTAGTGGTTATAATAGCTCGAGCTGTACACCAGGAGTTATAACATCACGAGCTGTATACTAGGAGTTATAACAACACCAGCTGTACACTAGGGGTTGTAACAACACCAGCTGTACACTAGGGGTTACCCTCGTTACGAGTTTACCATAGACTAATAAGTTTAATATTTTAATGGGTAGAGACAAGTAATAAGTAACTTTATTTTACAAGTTTGGTGTATTTAATGGGTCTTACTTTAAGTTTATTACACTTTATATGTGATCCTTTGTGCTAACTCTTTTATCAAGATTTAGTTAGTTAGTAGAGATATGTTAGTTTGGGCTTTAGTTAGTTAGTA